GGATTTGATTGGTTGGGTTTGTGTTGGTGTATGGAGGTGGGGGGGGGGGGGGGGGGGGGGGGTGTAGTTATCAATAAAAAGTTGTATTATCCATTAATTGCTTTTTTAGATCTGGAAACACCAAGTTTTTGTTGTACAAGGCTACCATAAACCTTGTTTCAGACTGGCAACAAAAGCAAATCTCAGCCCATTTCCTTTCCAGTCAAAAGAAACAGACCCAGAGCACATGTCGTTTTAATTCTACTTTGCTCTAACCATGGGAAATACTTACACTTATCAGCAGGGCCTAACTTTGATATTCACTCCTGTTAAGAGTTAACTGATGGACACATACTATATAGAAATCTTTAGCCCTTTGATGAAACTGTTGCATAGATGGCCTGTCTGTCTTTGTGAGCGTACCTCAGCTGGGGCACCTCAGTATTTATGAGAATGTCAGCAGTGGAGATGCTGCCATAAACTTCATTCTCACTTAGACATGTGGAGCAGTGGATTGAGTTTAGAAATGAGAAGATAAGCTCAGAGGGGAAAGGCATGTATAATTCATTCAGGCTTGTTTTACTCCTTCCTTTCAACAATTACATTAGCTAGATTCAATAGGGACAGTTGTGAATATTGCAAGGCAGCAGGATGGAGACAGGATTATCTGCTGGATCTTTTCCAACCACAGAACCTAAATACAGCTAAGAGTTCTGTGCAGAGTAACTTATTCTCCTCCTTTCTGATGTGAAAAGAGTGAGAAATTCTCTCCTGAAACTAGAAGTAGAGAAGTTGGCCTAAAAGTCTTTTAGACCTTCGGTTGAAACGGAACTCCTCCTCAGCTAAATTTGTTATCATTTCGCTTAATCTGGTTTGGGTAGTTATTTTTTATATTACTTTAGGATCTGGAATAATGGATGAGTCTTCCATTTTTTAAGTAAGTGCTGCACAGCCATAGTGTTGTACAAACACAAAACATGGTTTGTAAGTCCTACGGACCACAGGAGACATATTTAGTAGCAAGAAAAATAAAAGGGAGATCGTGATTGACTTTGGGAAGTGAAATATGCACCAGCATACCAGCTGCCTTGTCATAGTCAGATTTCTTGACTGTAGGACTCATCAGATTTTAAAAAAAGTGTTGTAATTTATTAGAGGAGCGCTTTCAAAGCTGGACCACAAGGAAGAACATTTAAATATGCCTTTTATAAGAAGCTAAGTTACAGGAGCCAAGAATTGTTACTTTAATCACTTGTTGAGGGGAGGCTGTACACAGCTTAGTGCCCCTGTTCAGTTTTCTTATATTCAGTGTGTATTTTGCCTGTAAAAATTTCATTCCATTCTACCTTGCCAAGGTACTACTTCTGCATTCTTTAGCCCAGGCCTAGACCTGCTTTAAAAAGCATGATGGAACGAATGCAGCCTCATTGCTGTATGACCAAAGCAGCAGTTTAAAACCCCACACCATACAGGAAGAGAAGTCACCTAAAGGAGTCATAACTTTGAAAATTGTGCCTGCTGAGTGCATGCAGTACTAGGGGAGGGAAGAGGCACATCCAGATCCCTGCTGGCCTTGCTGGGCAGCTGGGGCTGTCTGTGTCTCTTCTTTGGGGAAGGGGTGAAAGTGTCCTCCTGATGTTTTTTTTTATGAGTCCCATGACCTTAGTGGGATTTTACACATTTGTATTTCATATTTCATCTTAGTCAGCATTAAGACACAGTATAATTTTACTTATATTCACAAACCATTTCCCTCAAGGCTTCTTTTTTAATTCTGAATTCCCTTTTATGAATTCCTTCAATCTGTCAGCCATCGAATTTGTCAATATCTTACTGGTTTTGTGGACCCTAGAAAAGAAATGCACAGATATTAAGTGATTCACAGAGGATGCAAAGCTAGAAATAGCCTTATCTTGGTACATTTTCCAGGAAGACTTGAGTTCTTTCCAGCACAAGAATGTCTGCCAACCGTGGCAAGATGAATCATTTGCCATTTATGTCATTATTTTCTGTACTAAAGTTGTAGATTTGTGGTCTGTTCCCCACCATCATTCCCAGAGGTAGCAAGGACCTTGACACACTCTGTTCAGAGATGGCACAGACAGGTTTTCCACATCAAACACTCAAATAAGTACCAATTTCCTGTGTTTTTAACATAGAATTTGGCAGAAAAACCCTTAGATCTCTGCAGTTTACTAATGACATCAACAAAAACAAATCTGGTAATGTCTTGTTGCATTTGGTACCATACGCACCCATAACAGACAAAAATTAATTTGTTTTTACCTTCATTTCAATTTAATGTCATCCTGACTAGAAACAGATTTATCTGTGCTTGTACAGTTTTCAGACAAAGCTGGTAAAAAGCACAATGTGATTCTGTGATAACTGCTGTTAAGATAATACAAAATCTCTACAGGCGAAACAGAAGTGTGCTAGATTGGTTTTCTTTTCCTGAACTCTGACATTTTTTTCTGCCATTTCAGTTTCCCAGGGAAACCAAAGAGAGTTACATTTGTGCACTGTAATTGACTTATGCTGTAGCACCCAGGGCAAATTCCAAAGTACGAGAAAGAAAAAACTGTAGAAAATGATGTTATTGACTGACTGTGAATGTTCCGCAGTAATAAATTGCTAGTCAGAAAAACAGGCAGTCCAATGTATTTAGATATGCTTTGCTCTGAATTGTGATGAAAAGTTAAAAACTCGATGCATTTTTGTGAAAGTAAGTTTTCAAGACATTTGATTAGTAGACATCAAGATAACCTTGAAAACACCTGCCTAGGTATGAGCAAATTATCACACTAGATACCAGCTGATGTGTTGTTATCTGATGTAATATAATAATTGAATATCATAATAATTAAAAAACTAGCATAACAGATCTTGAACTAAATGTTTCAAAAGATGGAACAGCTGAAGTAAATTATTTAACAGTTTTGCAGTTCTAATGTATTTGAAATCTGCCCATCCTCTAACACATTCTAATTTTGTTGAAACACATTCAGAGAAGATTGTTCTATCAAAAATTGTTTGATTGACTCTAGGAAAAATTGTTTAATGGGTAAGACATTGCATTCAAATCTTCCATGTACAGCAAGCCATATTCCCACAGGATATCTTCAAGTAGAACAATAAGTATACTTGTTATTGTAGCATAGTATTAATATGAGGACCTAAGTTTTATCGCATACTGACTATCCATAGTAGTTCTCCTGACTTCTCTAAAGATATGATGGGTTCACATATGGTAAATTAAAAACATCAGTTCACCTGTGGAAGAGACAGTCCAGATAACATCATGTCAAACACAAACCATCCCCTCAGAACATGCATATCCAGGCATGTGATGAATGGAGTTAACTTTCCTCATAGTATTTTGCATTTGTGGATAAAACACAGTTGATAACACTAATGTTTTGGCTATTGCTGGACAGTGCTTGCAAAGTGTCAAGACTTTCTCTCTCCCATTGCCATCCCCATCCCCAGCAAGTAGGCTGGGGGTGGGCAAGAGGCTGGGAGGGGACACAGCCAGGACAGCTGTCCCCAGCTGATGAAGGGGATATTCCATGCCCTATCACATTGTGCTTAGCAATAAAAGTTTGGGGAAAGAAAGAGAAGGGGGAGGCATTTGGGTTTATGGCATTTGTCTTGCCAAGCAACCGTGAAATATCATTATCTCAATCCATGAGACTTCTTGCCTTCCTTCTATTTTCTCTCAATCACATAGGAGAGGGGAGTGAGCAAGAGGCTGGGTGGGTGTTTGGCTGTTGGCCAGGATCAATCAATATTTCATTTCAGGGTGCGCAACAACAATAGCTGGACATACTCTTTCTTGCTGTCACAGATTAAGGTAACCTACCAGCTCCCACTCTTCCTGTGTGACTGTCTTGGGGGCAATTTGGACATCTTATTTTGACCCGCTTGTCTGCTGTACCTTTTTATTCAAAAAAAATCAGGGGAAAATATTATTATTATTATTATTATTATTATTATTATTATTATTATTATGCCAGTAGATACAGTTGGAAAAAATCAAGGGCAAGCAAGCTAATATTTTCTAACACAGGTCAACAAGTGTGAAACCACAACACTCTCATGTACCTTCACCCCTGATGCACGGAGTCACAGATTACCAGGTGACAGGAGGCCAAGGAGCCGCTGCTGAGAAAGCAGGTCTTGCAGGGCTTGGCGAAGCGCATGGTCCCACCACGGGTCAGTGGTCAGGGCAGCTGGCTTTACCGGTGCCCGGGTGATGGAGGAGAGCGCAGACGGTGCTGCCTGCTCCCCGAGCTGGGAGATAGGAAGCCCCCGGGCAGGGCAGGGCAGCGCGGGGTGGGAGCTGGAGGTGGGAGCTGCACACCGAGCGCTGCGATTTAGAGGCTGGCGGCATTCACACTGGTTATTTACACCACAGACGGAGTTTGCCTTTGCCAGCTCTGACCAGATACGGGCATACGTTTGCGCTCTACCTGAAATCACTGGCCGCAGTAAAGAATTCCTGTCACTCAGTGCAAAGATGATCTATTATTGCCAAGTCCTCTTTGCAGAAAAACCCTCCCATAATCATTATGGACAAAATGAGACTGCTATTTAAACACTATTTTCCCATTTGTGTTTGACAAATCTTAGCAGTTTAAATACTGATAGGAACTTTTTGTCATGCTTTCTGTTAAAAATGAAGCATTAAGAAAGTTCAGTCCTTTTCACAGGAGCGTG